AAAAATCCTTACAGATATGTTGCCAACCCTCTGCCAGAACTTTAAGAATATTTTGAAAAATAACCTTTGAGTAATCACAACATATCTGAAAATGTTAATTTAGAGAAAAGACACTTAGTTGTTTGTTTGATCTACCAGAATCTAAAGTTACAAGTAAAACTTCTTGACTTTGTTCGTTACTTTCAGCAGCTCAAGCTTGGGAATCAGCTCTATGCTAATTAAGCTTCTGAGATACTTTTTCTATTGACAGCTGATAAAGAGTGCTTTCACAATAAATGTACTCTAATATAGCTCTCGATTCTGATAGTTTTTTTGGTCAGGGGTGGGTAAGATAAGACACAGACTTACAAAAGAACACATAATTTGATAACCTTCACCAAGTCTTTTTTTTTTTTTAAAAAAAAGCACTTATATTTTTGAACTTGCTAAGTTCTCTCTCATCTTCTATTTTTGTTTTTTGTTTGCTTTAACACAGTAGGTATGTAAAGGTGATACTTAAGAATAATGAAGAGGTAAGGTAGCTCTAAATAAAATTTTTAGACGAGAAAAATTTTAGAAAAATACTACTTCTCTTTCTTGGGATTTAAAAAGAACTCAGACAGGATAAGTAAGTTGAGTGCATCTTTTAAAAAAAAATTTTTTTTGAAAGCACTGGGAGCTCCCTCCCTTCCCACAAGGACTTAAAACTACTGGCAGAAGGACTGTCTTGAAACATATCATGAGTGATAATTTTTCTTCCCATCTACAAGGCAATCATTATCCTTGTTTTTCCTAATCCTTCTGCATTGGCTGTCTATTGATGAGTAGGTGTTAAAATAGCAAGAGGAGGGAGAGCATTAGGACAAATACCTAATGCATGCGGGTCTTAAAACCTAGATGACAGGTTGATAGGTACAGCAAACCACCATGGCACATGCATACCTCTGTAACAAACCTGCATGTTCTGCACATGTATCCCAGAACTTAAAGTAAAATTTTTAAAAAGCACATTTATTAAAAAAGAATAACCAATACATATCTTAGAGAAGTCAGCCAGAGTCACACAATGCACTGTTGGGAAATTTCCGTTTACTTATGTTTTAGTTTCTATGTATAGCGGGACTCTATCCTTCAAGGAACTGTTTTCCAAATTACCTTGTTAAAAAAAATAGTTTCCTATCTGTGGTTACTTAGGTTTAAAAAAAAAAAAGAAGAAAAACAAAGCTTTTATTTCTTGGCAGTTGTTGGAAGGAGATTGTGGTACCACATGAACTTGTTTAAAAATGAAAAGGTACGTGAGCTGGAACAGTCAGCTACTACCCCAAAACCTCTAAATCTCTGAACCTGTTTTTGACAGGATACAGACTTCCTGAGGACTTTCTTGTTCTGAAGGCCCCTGTAGTGTAAAGTATGGTGCTTTGAATTTGGTTAAGTGGTCCATGAGCCTTCCTTAACTCCTTGTATGGAGCATCTTGAATACTTAGAACCGTACCCTCTCCACAAAAACAAATGAAGAAACAAACAACCTATCCATGGAGATTTCTAATCCAGTGGTTGGCAGATTATGCTGTGTTTGTGATTTTGTTCCCTTTAAACTTTATGATCAGATTTTCTTCTGAAGCATCCTTCATTACTCTGTAATATCTTTTAAATTTCTGTGTCTCTGTGGAGTGTCATCGATTAGCAAAATACTCTGTCAGTTGGCAACAGCCTGATCTTTCTTATATATGCATTACGCAATAGACTCATGAAGACAAATTTGTTCCTCTGCCTGGTAAGGTACATGAAACCAAAACTAGTCTTCTAATCCCTAAACTTCTGCTTACTATGGATGAGACAAAAAAGATTAAACAAGGACATCCCAATTTCTAAGAGTTTGTTATTTCCCAATCTAATTTCTTGCACTTAAAGAAAAACACTGCAGTTCAGATTTTGAGAATATTCTGTTAAAGGAGACGAATTTCTATTTTTCAGGTTTATCAATAAATGAAGATGAAATAATAGCAAAGGTAGTTCCTAGAATAGTAAAGTCTTAGAAAACTTGGGGGGAAAAGGCAAATAAATAGTCTCTTTTGTTTTCCTCTATATTTGCTTAAATATTTTACAGTTCTGTACCCAGATTTGTCTTGGTTGCAATCAGAGCTACGTAACTCCTTCAGGTTTTTCTGAAGCCAAGTCTCTAGGCTGATCAGCAGATAAAATGTATTGAAAACCATAGAGTAGCATGCAAACAGAAGAAAGCCAAGTTTGCCCAAACAAAAAACATTTAATCAAGTGAAATTTTCTTGATTTCTGCTTTTCTGAGTAAAGGCATCAATATTTAAACAGCGTGCTCTTTAGTATCATTACGTGTTCGATTGCATTGCTCCATGCACCTTTATCTTCAAATATGGTGTTTCCTTTAATTTAAAAGGATTTCAGTGTTCCCATTCCCTTATTTTCTAACAGACTTGCTGCTGGGAGGGATTAACCGTTGCCCTAGAAACACTCAAAACATCAATTTCCCTGGAGCAATATCTCACTAATCTCAGCACTTAAGTCACAATATTTAGTTAGAGTTTGTTCAGTGAGTACTTTAAGGTTGATTAAATGACCATTAAATGTTCCAGAGCAACCAAAGTAAAAAGCTCAGAAGTAGCAGATCATCCATGCAGGAATGCAGCTCTCTCCACTCAGAGACCAATTTTGTCAAGACCACCTAGAAGATGCACAACTACCATTTACTGATGGTAACTGCATAATTATAATTACTTACAGTATAGGGGATCCCATGTATAACTCATGTCTAGCCTGTATAAATTTCTCTAAAATTTCCTAAATGTGGCCTTCAGTCAAAACCTAGATAAACATTCAAGTGTGTACGTGTGTGCATCCTCAATGTACGGAATCTTTTATTTGCTTACCTTCTCACTTGTTGAGGTGACTTTTTCTTCTTTTCATTGTTTATCAGCTCTCCAGGGAGGATCTTAGCAATTTAGATTATGTCTCTTGAGGAATGCAGAGAACAGATAACGAATTTTTTTGAGACAGTCTCACTCTATCACCCAGTCTTGAGTGCAGTGGAGAGATCATGCATGGCTCACTGCAGCCTCCAATCCCTGGGCTAAGTGATCCTCCCACGCCAGCCTTCTTAGTAGTGAGGACTACAAGTATGTGCTACCACACCTGGCTAAATTTTTATTTTTTTATATATATGGGATCTTGCTTTGTTGCTCAAGCTGATCTCAAACTCCTGACCTCAAGTAATCCTCCCACCTCAGCCTCTCAGAGTGCTAGGATTATAAGCGTGAGCTACCACACTTGGCAGAGGATGGATTTGAGAGGTATCTTCAAGCTGTTTGGTATCCCTGGAACAGGAACCAAATTGGGTTTTGTTTTATAGTTTGAATCATGGATTAGATAATCTTCTGACAGAAAGTAGAACGTGATTAGAAAGATGCAGTTTCAAAATATGCCTACAAATTAATACATTTGTTCATAAGAGTTTCTGGAAGAGAAAAACAAAAAAGCAAAAATAAAAACAAATAAAATTACCGGCAACAACAACAAAACTCAGAAACTTGATTCATAAATTAGCAGTTGATCAGAGTTGTTGGAGGATCCCAGTAAAATTCACATGAGTTGTCAAGGGAAGTGCCATTCTATCACTTTTGAAAGACTTTAATTAGCTTCTAGACCAGCGGACCCCAGTCTTTTTGACACCAGGGACTGGTTTCATGGAAGACAATTTTTGGATGGTTTCAGAATGATTCAAGTGCATTACATTTGTTTTGCATTTTATTTCCATTATTATTACATTATAATATTTAATGAAATACTTATAGAGCTCACCATAATGTAGGATGAGTGTAAGCCCTGAGCTTGTTTTCTGCAACTAGACAGTCCCATCTGGGGATGATGTGATGGGAGAAAGTGATAGATCATGGGGTAATAGATTCTCATAAGGAGTGCGCAACCCAGATCCCTTACATGCACAGTTCACAACAGGGTGTATGCTCCTATGAGAATTTAATGCCATGCTGATCTGATGGCAGGCAGAGCTTAGGCGGTATGCGAGCAATGGGGAGTGGCTGTAAATACAGATGAAGTTCTGCTTGCTTGATCGCTGCTCACCTCCTGCTGTGTGGCCACGTTCCTAACAGGCCACGAACGGGTAGCGATCTGTGACCTGAGGGTTGGGGACCCCTGTGCTAGACCATTGATAGGCATGCCTAATTCCTATTTCCAATCCACCTTGGTTGAGCATACTACTCTTCAATGAAGATTTAGATGTTACTGTATTACGATTTCAGAAGTAATAAAACTGAGGCATAAAAGGTTAATGTGTTTCCCTGAACTTACACAGTTTCCTGAAGCAAGAATGTACAGCTAGGTTGGAGAAGTACTTTCACAGAAGCCTACTTTTAAAAAATGTATAATGCTTTGAAATTTATTAAGCCTGTTTGCAATGACTTACATATTTTAGATATTTTAGTATTATACAAGCGTATGTAAGCTCATTGGAAATTTTGTCCGTTATAAAATTAAAATCTGATTTGAATGTTTAAAAATAATTTGTAGAAAGACTTTGCTTGCTGCAACTGAGATTTGCATGTAAAATATCTTTTATTTATAATATACTTTGCTTTATATTTTCACCTAGTTTTTAAATATTTTGAAATATAATTCTACTGTAAAGTTTCATTTCTATGCCTAGAAAACTATGTGAATACTCTTCCATATGACTTAATTTTGTATTGACTGTGGCTGCTAATTGCAGTCTGCTTTCCTCCAGTCAGTGGCGACTGCCTTTCCAAGATGTTTTAAACTCACATTTTCACAGTGCCTGCTTTCATTTAATACAGCTATTATATTTTAAAGGTGATTGTCCACTTTAAAAATAAAAGATGCCAAAGTAAATACACAGGAAATACCATGTTGTTTATTCCACTGGATAGGAAAGCTGGAAGGAACTCATAGGGTCCTCCAGTTGGGCTCCCCGGTCCTTTCATTTGTATTTTTTGTTATTGTTGTTGTTGTTGTTTGAGACAGAGTCTTGCTCTGTCACCCAGGCTGGAGTGCACTGGCCAGATCTCGACTCGCTGCAGCCTCTTTTCTGTCAGATTCAAGGGATTCTCCTGCCTCCGTTTCCTGAGTAGCTGGGATTACAGGCGCCTGCCACCACACCCAGCTATTTTTTTTTTTTTTTTTGTCTTTTTAGTAGAGACGGGGTTACATCATGTTGGCCAGGCTGGTCTCGAACTCCTGAGGTCAAGAGATCCGCCTGCCTTAGGCCTCCCAAAGTGATGAGATTACCAGCGTGAGCCACCGCGCCTGGCTCCCAATCCTCTCATTTTTAAAGATAAGGATGCTGAGTCCAGTGAGGTGGTGCCACTTGCCAAGCCCACACAACTAGTTAAGGCAGAGCCAGCATTGAAGCTCACATCTCTTGGCTCTCAGTCAAGTCCTTTGCCACTGTATTAAAAGAGACCATATTTAGAAAAGATTAAAATGCTGAAAATTTCTCTCCACATCTGTATTTTAAAGAAAAGGAAATATCTAATATGAATTATAGTCACTATTTCCAGTGTTTATCTGAAAAGTACTGGAGCTCTGAAAATTGTGAGGTTTGTCCTTCGTGAACTACGTGGAAAGTAATGAAAAAGCCAACTCCACCTCCTGCTGTGAACATACTGCTCGCTCTCTGATGTATTAGGTGTACAGCTGCTCCAAGTCTTTCTCTTGAACACCATTCTATTTACTTTAGTGCAAAGTTATTGTGGATTTTGAAATCAACTGAAGTATTTCTTAGTTTACAACAATGTTGTTTAAAGTTCACCATTAAAAATCATGATGGTAAAAACAATAACAGTCCTTTCCCCTATTAGAAATAATTTTAAAAGTACCTTAAGATAATATTTCAGAGGAACATTCCAACTTACAACATATCTGACATTCGTCATCTTAATGCATGGAAAATAATGCTTGTCAAGAAGGATTTTGTTCTTTTACTAGTAGGAAGTGCATTACTCTAAGTATATATGCCTGCTTCTGCTCTCTTGAGGATCAGAATAATAGCAATAATATAACACTTTACATCCATTATTTCATTGAATTCTCACAGCTACCTCATGAGATGGTTATTATGATCCCTACTTTACAAATGAAGTAATTGAGGTTGACGGGTTAAGATCATCAGGCTGATAAATGGCAGTGATTGAAATTTAAGCAGTCTTAGTGTAGGCCCTAGCTCTGCGTTAGCATGTGAAGTCTCCTGAGGAAGAGATGGCTTCCCAGGCTCAACATTATTTGGTTATGGCCCTTGGTCAGGGAGGTTAGGACCTCAGGAGACTACAGTGGTGGAGTACATGGGCCCTAGGCACAGAGGGCTAGGGCGAGTGTCTGCTTTGCTACTTACTATGTCTTTCTCTATGTTTTCGTTTCTTTGTCTATATAATGGGAAATATACAGACTTATAGCCATAGGTTTGCTGTGAGAATGGGATAAGATCATCCTTGTAAAGCGCTTTATACAATGATGGGCACATAATACGCACTCAAACAAGCTTACCTATACACATACTTGATTGATACTAAAGACAACAATGAAATTCCTAGTCCATTGCCAATTTCTCTATTAATGCCTATTATTACTTAAGAATTATTACCTATTTTCAAGTAACAATATATTTCTTGAGTCTTTACTCAAGAAATATATTTTTATTGTTATTTTAACCCTCAAGGGAGCTGAAGCAAGCATGTATACTTCTTTTTCAAGAGGAAAGAAGTTCGAAATGGGAGTCTGGAGGCTAGGGTTGAGAGAGATTTGCTTTCTGCTTTGAAAAGCCCAACCTCTCATTGAATCTTACTTGCAAGGAATTAAAGCAGCCAGTCAGCAGATGTTTGTGTATATGATAGTAGAAACTACAATAAGATGGAACATAAACTGGATATGGTCCTATCTCTCAAGAAGTTGAGGAAGAGGAATGCTAACAAGGGATACCATGGGCAGAAATGTGCACAGTCATTACAGAAACTCATAATTGAGGATGAGGCATGGGATGCTGGGCAGAGAGCTGCTGACTAAGAAGAAGTATTTCAGATGGGGTGCCCTATGGTGAGTCAAGGAAGCTGCTCTCTGCACCTAGGATAGTTCTGGCAAAATATCTTGGATTAAGAGTTACAATGAAAAAAAACAACCAGACCAAACAACAACAACAAAAAAACATATTTTCTAACACAAACGAAGGCTGGTGGCTAGGGTACAGAGTAAGATGACAGAATGAGACGAGAGTGGTTGGATGAAACAGAAGCATAGGCTAAGGAATCCTACAGCATATGGTTTAAACATGGCTTAGAGCCAGAGGTAACTAGCAAACTACTAGAGATCTAAAGAGTTCGTGGTCAAGCGCTCTCTCTCTCTGTCTTTTGCTCTCTCTTGCACTCAATTCCAGGGTTTTATGTTTGGAATACCTCTTTCTCCCACTTTTTCTCATTCCCCTCTCTCTCCCTGGGCGAATCCACGTGGAGTCTTCAGGTCTCAGCTTTACGTCTTCCTTTAGGAATTCATCCCTGACCATGGAGACTGAGTTACGTATTTTTTTGTAGGTCCTAGTTTTGGCATCTGCTTACCTCATCAAATCTGTTTTTGTTTTCTACATCTGTGTAATAAATTACGATGAACATAACAGCTTTAAGAAACAAAATTTATCCTTTCACACTTTCTCTGGATCAGGAGTTCAGAATGCTTTAGCTATGTCTTCTACTCAGAGTCTTAGAAGGCCAAAATCAAGATGTTGGCTAGATGTGTCCTTACCTGGAGGCTTGACTGGGGAAAGGTTGGCTTCCAAGCTCCCTCAGCTTGCTGGCAGAATTCATTTCCTTGAAGCTGTAGGACTGATGTCCCTGTTTTCTTGACACTGTTGTCTGGGGCCCACACTCAGTCAGCACTTGATGCATGGCCCTCTCTTTAATATGGCAATTTGCTTCTTCAAGGCTACTGGGAGAATCTCTCTTCACAGCTTTCTATGACAAAGTAACATTATGTAATCACAGGAGTGACTATTCATTACCTTTGTCATATAATGTAACCTAAGCAAGGGAGCAAATATCCGATTATAAGTCTTGTCCACACATAAGAGGAAGAGATTATATAGGGTGTGTATACCAGGGATAGAGGATCTTGAGGGCCATCTCAGAATTCTACCTACCACAATATCCTTTGTCACATTGCATTATAATTGCTAGCTGACTAAGATCTCAGAGTGACTATATTTTGGTGACCTTTATAGTTTTGCTTTGCATAATGCTTAGCAGATACTCTCAATAAAAATTTGCTGAGTCAGTTCATAAGTGTTGACAGGCCAGATCAGATAGTAGAGTATGGAGGCCTGAAGAGGAAAGATTTTAGTAATTTACACATTTAGTAGAAATAGGTTAAAGGATGCTGTTGAGTGGCAAAGAAGAACAGAGAAACTCTGAACTAAGTCCAGAGTCTACAAAATCTGTTAATGAGGATAGCTATAGTGATGGGGAAACTGAATACTATAGTTGGAGGTAGTGGTTATGTGACACTCGGCAATGTTGGTCAATGATATTGCATATGCTGTCGAATAGGTAAGAATGAATGGTTCCCAGTAATTGTGCTGCAGTGTGGAAAGCCATCATAACCATTGCTTTAAAAAACTGTACATTTAGGCCAGGCTTGGTGGCCCATGCTTGTAAACACAGCACTTTGGGGACCAAGGCCACACATCCCTTGAAGTCAGGAATTCAAGGTCGGCCTGAGCAACATGGCGAAATCTTGTCTCAGTAAAAACACGAAAATTAGCCAGGTGTGGTGGCACACATCTGTAATCCCAGCTATTCCAGAGACTAAGGTGGAAGAATTGCTTGAAGCCTGGGAGACAGAGGTTGCGGTGAGCCAAGACTGTACTACTGCACTATAGCCTGGACAACAGAGTGAGACTCTGTTTCAAAAAAATTAAAACCAACAAATTAAAAACTATATATTTATTTGAGCTTTTTCTCTAGTCAAAGCACATGACTAAATCTGTTGGAGGGTGTGTCAGGGCTCAACGAAAAAACTATAGAAAATTTACAGCAGGGCATTGGGTCATACAAGTGATGGTAAAGCTGAGAAGCCAAGAAAAGGCAGTAAGGTTAATCAAGATTAGCCACACCAGAAAGCTACTACCATCTTGGGGTACAGAGGGAGGAGACTGTTATCCAGCAGCTTAGAGACCCAAGTTACAGGCAGATCCTGGAACTAGAGTAGGCTGTTCTGAGCAAGAACTGGGATCATGGAGAAGAATGGGCTATCTCCAGAGATACTGGATGGCTCAGTGAGAGAGGAGGAATGCCCTGGCTTCTCCTTTCCTCCTACTCTTCAGTCTTTGACTACTGCCTCCTAGTAACTGAAGCCAGCTGAGACAGTTGATGAGGGAGCAGAGAAAATGCCGACAGCAGACAGCAGACAACAGACAGTGACCCTCTTCCCGGGCATCTCCTAGACTCAGAGCAGAAGATGAGAAATGACCCATCGGCAAACAAGCTCAGGACCAGCACAAGGACATAAAAATGCATGGCCAGGCATCTGTCCTCAAGGGGCTTACATTGTAGAAGAGGAAAGGAGGCATGCACACAGTTAACCATAACACGGGAGAAGTCAACACTTTCTAGGATAGTAATTGATGACTTTTGCAATGGCAGTCTGAGTGGCATGATAATTAAAAAACATGAAACAAAATTGTAGGCCTTCAAAGTGGAGCTTGTATATAGAATTAGATATTAATTGAGTTTGTATTTCACATTATAATCAGGAAAAACAAAAAGTAAGTTTTAGAAGAAACTTTGGAATATATGTACAGCTTAAAGAAGGAGATTTAAAGACAGGCAACCCAGAAGCTATGAGATAGATACAGCTAGTTATACATATTTTAAAATTATGGCAAAATACATAAAACTATATATAAAGGTAGAATACACATAATAAATTGGGGAAAGAACATTTCTAACAAATGACACAAAAAGAATCAACACGTATAATGTATCTACAAAGTAAGAAAAAGACAACCAAATAAAAAAGTTAGCAAAAAATATTGGCAGTTCATACAGAAGAGTAAGAAAATATGGTTCAATTTATCTAAAGCAAAGCATTTTTTTAAAAAGCCCTCCTTTCATGGTTTATGCAGAGAAATATGACTGATGGTGTATCTGGCTAGATTTTTCTATTATTTACTGGAAGGGAGTAGCAGCGGGCTGTGGAATGGAAGACAAGGTCATGGGAGAGATAAACAAAAGCCAAAAGAGTCGATAAGACAAGTTTGTACAACACGTACAGTGTAAATATGGTCCCATTATGGGAAATCACGAACATATGTGACTATATGTGTATGTGCATATGCTACTTACACCGCCCCAGCATTATTGTCTCACTTAGATTCCTGCTAGAGTGTTCTCTCTGATTTCCTCTTTCACCTTTTGCACCTTTTATTTTCTTTCTTTTTTTTTTTTTTTCATACAGAGTCTTGCTTTTTGACCCAGGCTGAAATGCAGTGGCTTGATCTTGGCTCACTGAAACCTCTGCCTCCTGGGTTCAAGCGATTCTCATGCCTCAGCCTCCCAAGTAGTTGGGATTACAGGCGTGCGCCACCACACCCAGTTAATTTTTGTAATTTTTGTATAGATGGGGTTTCACTATGTTGGCCAGGCTGGTCTCGAACTCCTGAGCTCAAGTGATCTGCCAACCTCAGCCTCCCAAAGTGCTGGGATTACAGGCGTGAGCCACCGTGCCTGTCCCACCTTTGCTTTATTTTTTTTTATTGTACTTTGGGCTCTGGGGTACATGTGCATATCCTGCATCCTGCAGGATTGTTGCACATGTATATACATGCCATGGTGGTTTGCTGTCTCCATTTCCCCTGCCCCCGACGCCTACATCAGGCATTTCTTCTTGTGTTATCCCTTCCCATTCTCCCCACCTCCCCTCCATCCCCACACCTAGCCCAGTGAGCGTTGTTCTCTTCCCTGCGTCCAAGTGTTCTTATTGTTCAACACCCGCCTATGAGTGAAAACACGCGGTATTTGATTTTCTGTTCTTGTGTCAGTTTGCTGAGAATGATGGTTTCTAGATTCATCCATGTCTCTACAAAGGACACGAACTCATCGTTTTTTATGACTGCATAGTATTCCATGGTGTATATGTGCCACATTTTCTTTGTCCTGTCTATCATTGATGGGTATTTGAATTGGTTCCAAGTCTTTGCTATAGTAAACAGCACCACAGTGAACATACGTGTCTTTATAATAGAATGATTAATAATCCTTTGGATATATACCCAATAATGGGATTGCTGGGTCAAATGGAATTTCTATATCTAGATCCTTGAGAAATTGACACACTGTCTTCCATAGTGGTTGAACTAATTTACACTCCCACCAACTGTGTAAGAGTGTTCTTTTTCTCCACATCCTCTCCAGCATCTGTTGTCTCCAGATTTCTTAATGTTCGCCATTCTAACGGCGTGAAACGGTATCTCAATGTGGTTTTGATTTGCATTTCTCTAATAATCAGTGATGATGACCATTTTTTCATAAGTTTGTTGGCCACATATATGTCTTCTTTTGAAAAGTGTCTGTTCACCTTGCCTTCTTTATGTTTTTAAATTTATTTTTTAAATTGTACTTTAGGTTGTGGTGTACATGTACAATCATGCAGGATTGTTGCATGGGTATATACATGGCAAAGTTATTTGCTGCCTCCATCCCCCCATCACCTATATCTGGCATTTCTCCCCATGTTATCCCTCCCCAACCTCCCCACTCCCCGCTGTCCCTCCCCTACCCCCCTCAACAGACCCCAGTGTGTGATTTGCCTTCTTATAGCCCATCCTCCACGCAGCAGCCAGAAAGAATCTTTGAAAAGTTAATTATATCACGACCCTCCTCTGATCAATAGTCTGCCACAGCTTTCCATCTTAGTAAGAACTGGCTTCTCATGTCATACTTTTCTTCCCTTCCCTTGGCACACTCCAGCCCCTTGGGTCTCCCTGCCATTTCCCCAACATCCTGAACACAATCTCACCTCACAACTTTAATACTTGCTGTCCCTTTTGTCCATATAGCTCCATTTTCCCACCCTCCCGTCCACGCCACTGCTCAATTGTTGCCTCATCAGAGATTTCCCTGATGATCCCATTTAAAATAATATGTTCTTTACTCTCTAACACTTATAAGCTCTTTCTTTCTTTCTCCTTTCTTTCTTTTTTTCTTTTCTTTTCTTTTTTCTTTTCTTTTTTTCTTTTCTTTTCTTTTTTTTTTTTTTGAGACAGAGTCTCACTCTGTCACCAGGCAGCAAGCTGGAGTGCAGTGGCACAATCTCAGCTCACTGCAACCTCTGCCTCCCTGGTCAAGCAATTCTCCTGCCTCAGCCTCCCGAGTAGCTGGGACTACAGGCACATGCCACCACGCCCAGCTAATTTTTGTATTTTTAGTAGAGACGGGGTTTCACCATGTTGGCCAGGATGGTCTCGATCTCTTGACCTTGTGATCTGCCTGCCTCAGCCACCCAAAGTGCTGGGATTACAGGCATGAGTCACCACACCCGGCGTAAACTCTATTTTTCTTCATAGCGCCTATTACCACCTTACATATGACTAGACTCGAGGACTGGCACCTTCAGGACATGCACTGTGTGTCCATGGCACATAGTAAGCACTCAAAAATTATTTACTGAATGAAAGAAAGAATGAATAAATGAATGAATGGAGATGAGTGGGTCAGGATAGTCACTCCAATATTAACAGTGATAGGTTTCAGGGGCTTTTTGTCTCTTTCTTATAATTTTTCTATCACTCAAATATTAAGTAACAGAATTTTTAAAAATTATTTTCCTCATTGAGAAATCAGAGGATGTGGCTTGTGTTTATAGGAGTCCGTGATAAGTTCATAGGAAGAAGGACTCTAAGGAAAAATATACTGACTGCCCTCCCTCCTCATCTCAGAAATGCAGGATCATTTTTCCAGAGACTTCAAGATGTTACTTAGCTATTTCTCTGTGTATTTTCTAGCTATAGGCAGAAAATTGTATTTGCAGGAACCAACTTCTACACCAAATTTGTGTGCCCTGCATCTGACAATCTTCTGCAATGGAGATAAATGTGTTTGTTGTTCAGGTTTAATAAAAACAAACAACACTAATACTTGCTGAGATAGGGGAAAAATGAACTGATATTTCAATTCATTTTGAAGTGCATACAACAAATAAGATGGATTAATGGATCAATGGAGGGATTGGTTGTTGTGGAATAAAACAAGATAGTTAAGATGTTAATGGTAGAATCTAGGTGCTGATGGTATCGATCTTCACTGTAAAGTTCTTTTATAAGTATTTGAAAATTTTTATAATATTTAAGTTAATTAAATACAACAGAACTTAAATTGTGTCAGAGGGAATTTCAAAAATTTGGGGGAAAAATGGAATTAAAAGATAAAGGTAAAAACTTTAAACTTTATTTCTCAACATAAGCTCCATCAAATTCAAGACACTTGTGTAAGTGATAACATCAGTCATGTAGTTCATCCCTCAGAGGATCCTGGGAATTTAACCATGTCCATGCAGTATTTTTATATTATAAACTGAAGAAAAGTAAGTGCCTTTTAAAGATTTTTTTTTTAAGTTTAGAAAACAAAAAGTAATGAGAAGGAGTGAAATAAGGACTGTAAAGTGGATGCCTAGTGATTTCACATTGAAACTCTCACACAATTGCCCTTGTTTAATGAGAGGAATGAGCAGGAATGTCATGGTGGAGGAAGACTCTCCGGGGAAACTTTTCCAGGCATTTTCTATTAAATATTGGCTGACTTTCTCAAAACGCTCTCATAACCAGCAGATGTTATCGTTCTTTGGCCCTCCAGCAAGTTGACAAGTAAAATGCCTGGAACATTCCCAAAACTGTTGTCATGACCTTTGCTTTTTTGCTTTGCCTGGACCACTTTCACGTCTTGTAGCCATTGCTTTGATTGTGCTTTATCTTCAGGATTGTACTGGTAGAGCCATGTTTCATCTCCTGTTACAATTCTTTGAAGAAATGCTTCAAGGCCTTGATCCTACTTGTTTAAAATTTCCATTGCAAGCTGTGCTCTTGTCTGTAACTGATCTGAGCACAGTGTCTTCAGCACCCATCAAGTGAGAAGTATACTCAATTTTAGTTTTTCAGTCAGAATTGTGTAAGCTGAACGAATGATATGTCTATAGTGTTGGCTATTATTTAGGCTGTTAATCATAAATCCTCTTCAATTAGGGCATAAACAAGATTAAATTTTTCCTCCCAAATTGGTGCCACCAAAACGGTCTGCCACTGCAGGCTTCACCTTCAACACCATCTTGTCCCTTCTTACAATGAGTTATCCTTTTGTATACTGCTGATTTCTTTGAGGCACTGTCCTCATAAACTTTTTGCAAAACATCAGTCATTTCACTCTCTCCCATCCAAGCTTTACCATAAATTTGATGTTTGTTCTTGCCCCAATTTTAGTAGAATTCACGTTGTTCTGATAAGGGCTCTTTTAAAGCTAATGTCTTATCCTTCTTAGTGCCTCAAACTAGATCCTAGATGTGTTATAACAAGTTATGGCAAGTTTGCTTTTGTGCAAAAAAATTTTTAAATCCATTTGTAGTTTTTTCATAATATGAATTTTGCATAAACTTTTCAAAGACCCCTCATAATATTCAAAGCTACTTATTTCTTTTTGATGAGAGGGGAAAATAGATATTCTGTTAAAAGCACTAATGGTGTTTTAGACATAGTCAATATTTTAGTCCATTTATTGTCTTATTTATGATTTGTGGTATAAACCACATTTATTAGATTAAAAAAATCATTTTTATAATTTCGTATTATGGTTTCATCAAATATCTTTTGTGCTTTAAGAGTTTATATAAGAAACTATGAGAGTCTGGTTTTTCCCACTAATTAGGACTTTCAAAAGCTTACTGAAAAACGCCCTTCTAAACTTGACAGCCATTGAGAGCTGTTGTGCTGAACTACAATTAGCACTGTTAATAATTGCTTTTCCAGGAATATAATTTAATGACTGTGCAGAATCAAAAACTCTAAATAAAGTATCATTGTGTATATCACTTCAATGTTGTCTTTGTTTTCCATGTAATAAACAGGTAGAAAAATTGGTCTCACTGCTAAATACTATAACCTTTGAAAACACAACTCCAAAAATATATTCATTCATTCGTTCCAATGTGCCACACTGTTCATTACACAGAGGCCATAAAGAGCTAGGAACAGAATTTCCACTCGTTTTTCCTTTTTTTCTTTCTCTCTTGTTTCTCCTTCTCTACCTCCTTCTTGCTCTTCCATTTCTTCTTTCTCTTCCAATTCTTTCTCTTTCTCTTTCTCTCACTTTTTTTTTCTCCTAATCTCCTCCTTCTTCTCTCTCCTACCTCTTTCTCTCTCCTTTTGTCCTCCCTCAGGCTGCCAGAGAGAGATGCCAGACCATTTCTATATGCTCATTTCTGCCACTAGCAAGATCATACTGAGGTAGAATATAGAGGGATAGGGATGGTTTAAGGGCAGTAGCAGTAGTCAAGGGTTAATTATG